TCTGCTGCTTGAGCTGCCCAGTCTGTTATCTGTAACGGGACCTCAACCCAAGTGATACACAAATGATGAGACTTTCAGGTATATATGTGAAAGTAAGTGTCGTACCGCAAAGGAAAAATCACCTGTTCTGCACAGATGTCCTATGATCACCTCCAAGAGTCACATGAACTTCTACTGAAAAATGGTTTTGGCCTCACGGGAGTGAGTAGAATGATCCTGAACATATTAATGTCCAGTATCTATCAGTTTTGTTATAATTTGGAAATCACGATAAAAAATGTACTCAAATTGAGAACCAACCAAACCTCAGAACAGCAAGGAATGGACGTCTTAAAGTCTGTTCATGATTTCTAGGGGGTCTCTGAGTAACACACTGTAGACACAGGATGTGAGGTGAAAAATTGAGGAACAGATTAAGAAAGTAACAGAACATGTGCTGTTGAACTGAGTTCACTACTTCGTAATAAATGCCAACATGGTGGCAGGAAATGTGCAAAAACTTTGGTGTGACGTCCAGGAAAGAGCACAGCTTTTGTTTCACAAGCAACTCAGAGTCACAGCAGAGAAGCAGAGCAGGTGAGCAGAGAGCAGAGGGGACCAGGGGGGCTGGGGGGCATGAGAGGAGTGTGGGAGACGCCCACTCCCGTTGTTAGTGTCAGGCGCGTCTTCAGGACGTTTTCACATGAAACACTGGGAGGGAAAGTAGGTCCTCTTCTGTTTATGGTCACTCCCCTGCCCTCTGACTCTCCTTGGACTGAACTCCCTGCTCTGGGAGGAGAGCAGCTGTGGTCAGTGAGCAGAAGGTGGGTCCACCCTGGATATAAGCCAGCACCACCTCCCAGGCCCAGAGACACGGACTCACCTGACCCCCCACGTTCGTGCGGAAACACGACCCCACGTGCATGCGAACCACATGCAGGGCTCAGGGCCATCACAGCACCTGTGCCACCCAGGACCGGGGTCTCCTCTTCACTGATGTCATCCTCTGAGGGCCAAAGGCTTAGCTGACAAGGACATAAACCCCCCTCTGCACCACACACAGTGCCTCCTGGTGGGTCTGGGTCCATCCTCCCCCAGGGAGAGCCCAGCAGACCCTGGGGTGCATGGGTCTGGGAGCTGGACAGCATACACCCTGCCTCTCCAAAAATTCCCCTCCATCTCCAGAGACACATTGAAGGCCACGTGTCCCTGTAGCTCAGCTCTGGGGTCCCTGAGGACACAGCCGTGTGCTTTTGTCACCAGAAGGAGAGCGAGTGAGGGGACATCAGGGTGACCCAGACACAAAGGTCCCTGCAGGGAGGGCTCAGGCCATCACGGGGCACCCAGGGCCATGAGGAAACCAGAAACCTGTTTCAGAGCAGGTGCAGAAGCAGCCGTGGATAGGTTCCCTCCCAGAAACAGAAGATTCTCCGCTGGCTCACCGTGTCCCCTGGGAGCCGATCCATAATGTTTCCAGGGAAACTTTCTGATCTGAACTTGGGCCTTTTTCACGGAGTCAGGCTTGTCTGTTTTATTCCTCATCTAACTGAGGAACAGACTCACAGAAATATTTCTCCATGGGACTTCACTTGATATTTATCCACTAACTATACTTTCTAGTCATCAACTTTACAGATACTTAATGACACAGACGATTCTTCTGTGCATCCTTGAGTTTACCTTCCACCCTTGGTGTATTTCCAGGCATTTCATCCTCGAGAGGTTCCCCAGGCCTTTTTCCTGCAGTGCCTTTCCCTAGAATAGCATAAGGAATGTTGTATATTTGGAAAATGATGTCTGTGAGACACTGGAGTCATTTTGTCCCCCAGAGGACATGTGGAAATGTCTGGAGACAGGTTGGGCTGTCTCATGTGGTGTGGGCTGCAGGTACCCAGTTCCCTAGTGGGCAGAGTCCCTCAAAGGTGCTCAACACTCCACAACGCACACGGCCTCTCCCACAGCAAGAAACAACCTCAAATGTCAATAATGTTGTAAAGCTGTGACAGAATGCTGTACATCCAGGCAAATTCATACCACTGTTGACACGCAGAAGATGAATCTGCTGTATGTAAGTTATTCTCACTAAATGAAAAAGACAGACAGACAGACACCAGACTTAGCCTTCGGTTCACTCAGAGTCCCCATTACACACTATTCACACAGGTCTCTAGGTCTGTGGGCAGAAGGGCCCGGAGCAGGGTCCTATAAGCAGACGGGGCAGCAGAGCAGGGACCCAGGACTGGGGAGGGGGCCCATGGCTCTGCTTCACTGAGTCCCCAGAAACAAGACAGGGCCCAGGCTGGAAGCCATTGTTTCAACATTTACAACTTCCTTCCTGTAATTGTATCAATCTTAATGTTTGCAGAATTTTACGTCTGAACAATAATTTATTCTAATATTAACAGATTTTTCACATATGGCACATGTCACAAATTATTATTTATTTTACATCTACAATAACATTGCTTGTAATTGTAGAACAATATCAATATATACAAGACACATGTGACTGTATCCCTGCCCCGCTGTGGCCCACCCTGACAGAAATCACTAGACCTTCCCCAGCACCCACATCCCCTCCCCCTCAGGAGCCACAGCTCACCTTCTCCTCCCCTCACCCCCTGCAGGCTGCTGGGGGCCACCTTCTCTCCTCTGAGCATGGATGTGACCAGGAATGTCTGTGGAGGTGGGAGCTCACGTCCAGCCCAGTGACCTCCTCAGTAAATTACAAGAAAATCAAAAGAAAGTAAGGGAGACAAAAGTCAACATTCTCAAGGGAAGTTAGCTTTTCTTGATGTAAAACAAATAGACTGACAGTTATTTCAATAACAAAAGCGGGTTTAATTTGGACCAGTAAACAGTCTCAGTATGGGGTCTGCAACCCTGATGAGCCACATGCACGTCTTCAGTAAAAGAGAACGCCTCCTTCATCATGGGGGGAAGGGAGCTGAGAGAGCCCGAGGGAACCAGAGTCCCTGCATTTCTCTTGGCTGAGTGCTGCCCAGGAAAGACAGGGAAGCCTTGCTTCCCCCAGCTGGGCTCTGAGGCCATCAAAGGGCATGAGAGCTCCCCTCTGTTCACCCAATTTTACTAAACGGAGGTTTTCCATTTAATTAATTTCTTTAGGTACTTTGATGTCTACTATCAAGTTCTAGAATTACTTCTCTCGGTGGAGACATAGTAATTCTAGCCTAATATTTCGCTAGGGAGTCTCATCCTAGTAAACGGATAGAGCTGGAGTAACTGAAGTGCGAAAGGTGCGCATCCCTCAAAGGGCCTAAGTACAGGGGGCAGGCTCAGGGCACAGACCTGCCAAGGCCCCTCACAGGTCCCCATGGTGGGAGCAGCTTCAGGGCCCTGAGCCCAGGCTGCTCTCAGTCGTTCAGCTGAGCAGGGAGAGTGCGGCTCCGTGACCTTTAGGACTGGAGGAGACTGGCCTCCGATCTGGAGAGACCTTTGCTGAGAGAAGGGGCTGAGGAAACTCCGCGTGTTCCCTCAGAGCCACTGGGAACCAGGAGGATGTCGGGGGGCTGCTCAGAGGGCTGACGGCGCCTGAAGAGCAGGCATTTGTAATAGGCTCTTTCCCAATGCCCTGGATCTATCAAAACAAAGGCAGAAACTAGGAGGGTCTGGGTTTTATGCAGGAGTTTTATTTGCCAGAACTCAAGTTTAAGAACTTCAACTGTCCTACCTCAGGTGACTCTCCTGTAGTGCAAGAGAGACGGTCTGTCAGCTTAAGGAAATCTGGGGAGGACCTGGTTTCCAATTCCACCCTGTTCCTCTGTGAATAGAATGGAAATGTCCTGAGTCAAACTATTGATAAACACAGAGTACAGTGTTGGCTGGGTCGAATAAACATATGAAGCAATACTACGATTGTCTTTTAAAATTACCTGAAGTGGATTGTGATAAACATGACCAGACTCACCCGACTTTCATGGGAAAGCTGGATTTCTATTCCAAACAACAGTGTTGGAAAATTCTCAGGAACTGCCCAGTGAGTTTGCCAAGTTACGGCTTGACATTTTTATATAATAAGTGAGTGGACGCCTCTCCTGGTCGCAGTTCTAAACACCTTTTAGGATTCTCCCAGTGAGCAGTTTACACGCAAGCCAGGTCTGACCTTCAACAACAACTGCAGAAACTGGACGATGTAAGTCAGAGAAGCCGGGGTGAAGGGTCTGAGGGGCCCCATTAAATTCCTCAGTGAGGAATGTTGGCTGGTTCGGACAAGTGTTGACTACAGTTCAGCTTTAGTCCAGGAAAATAAGAAATGAGCAGGTGGCCCTCTGGGTCCTCATAAGGATGAACTTTAAGATAACAAGACCTGACAAGTTGGAGGAAAAGTGCGTGGGGAGAATTTCAGAGGAAGTGGGAAGTTTGCGGAGACACTGACTGTGGAAGGCATGAGGGTACAGTGGAGGTTCAGGATAAGAGGGAAGGGAGGCATTGGTGCTAGAGGGGAAGCCTGAGACACACAAGCCAGGGAAGGGGAGCCCGAGGCTTCAGAGGCCTAGTTTTCTTTCCTTAGTCCCTGTTTGCCTCAGTTAATCGTATGACCGTAGTTTACAACACAAGATGTAAGGCTCCCAGGCATAATTCAAAGGTTCATAATAATGAGGGAAGTCGGCGTTCCATGCAGACTTGAAGATTTTATGTATTTGTCTGACTTCATTTCAAGAAAAGTAAGTTTGAGGATTTCAACAGTTCTTCATAACGGCCGATGAGACATACGTTTAGTTGAAGCATGATTCTCTCTGGCCTGGTCTGCCCAATTCACTAGTAATTTGCATAAGGAAGCTCCCTGCTTCTGAGACACAAACTCAGCTGGGGTTCCTACTGCAGAAGTGACCTCAAAACAGTTAGATATTGGGACCCCATACCTCAAAGGTTTTCTGGAGAGAAAAGGAATAATTTCCAAGCCGCCTAAAGGGTCAAACAGCACAAATAGCCAGCAGGGCTAACACCAGTCAGGTCTAAGGGATCAGTCTGGTTGTGAAGGAGCCAGGCTGAAGGCTGCTCAGCACAGGCCCAGTAGATCAGCCCCTATTCCCAAGGAGTGGGAGGAAAGGCAGCCACTTCCAGCTGGAACATTTTGGTTTCAAAATCAAACTGAATGCCAGATACATAATTGTATACATATAAGGCCTTATTTCAGAAGGATAAACCTAAAAGTAGCTCTCAGATAAAGCCTGCAGAGCTTCCCACTGCACAGTTGTGGAAGCTGGAACCCAGGAGAATGATTTACCCTCAAACTCGAGGGTCGGGGAGAAACACAGGGTGCAGCCATGGGCCCATTATGGGTCCCACACCTGTTTGCTCAGCAGCCCCACAGTCATACAGGGTCTTGTCTAATTCCATAAGGGCCATGAAATGTTGACCTGAAATAAACAGATGGCCAGTTATTTCTCCAGCAAAAAGAAATGTTTTCATCTGGGATCAACAAAGTTTGCATTCAATGCCTG